TTTACAGCCCAAGTAAGTGGAGTGGGAACATTTTTTAAACCTGACAAGGTAATCGTGCACCAGGAAACCACTGGATTGCTGACAGCCCATTGGTAGAACATGGTGCTGTGAAGCCAACACCCAACATATTGGTACTACCTAGTTAGACTGGTCGGAATGTAAACAATAATTGCGCTACAGCACCAAACAACGATGATTTATCTCATTTCCAGGGGGACTTGAGACTTTCAAAATAAAGATAAATTCGGTACTTTGACATACACTTGTTGTTTCATAGCATCAGTGCATTACTGTAATTTATAAAATAGGCACATCATTTAACATATTCAGTATGAAGGCCATTAGAGTGGGGGCCTAGCGGTTAGGGCATTGTGTTAGGGATCCTCAGGTTCTGAGTTCAAGCCCCACTCCCACAGACTGCCACTCTGGCTCCCTGAGCAAAGACCTTTAACCCCACACTGCTCCCCGGGCGCCGCAAGATGGCAGCCCACTGAGATCAATTAAGTTCAGTTATTATTATATTATTATGAAGTCTATACATCATGTAATATAACACATTATACAAACCCACCACAACAAAATGTGTGTGTTAATGGAGCATAATAATACTGTAGTCAGATATTAAGAATATTTCACACACACATCATCTGATAATGTGCCAAAAGTGTTAAATAAAGGATGTACTTGTAAAATACATTAATTTATTACATTTTTATGGAAATTACATGAAATTACAGGCATCTTGATGGAGCGAGTCCGTGAGAACGGGGAGAACCAACATGGCAGCAGGTGACTAATTATTTTCAGCCTGTCAGTATTCCTCCGCAGTAGTAGCCCGCTGGGTTTTTATTTTTCTTTCTTGCTTGCTTTAAGGTTCAAGGCAATGGCGTAAATATCGGCAAGTAGAGACTGACACCTATTAGTAGGCCCCCCCACGCAATTGTGGATTAGGACGTCTCTTTGCAGACGTAATGGTATGAAAAATTCCTCTCATATTCACCTAATACTGTAATACATAACCACATTGGACCTTATTTATACCCCAACACATGCCAGACTTAAACATTATGGTGAGCCGTTTAAAAACGACACCAATAGCAAAGCAGACAGACGTACTTTTAATTACTATGTTAATGTTTATGTATAGTTCATTATACGGTTGGTAAAAAAAAAAAAAAAAAAAAAGTACACTCATATAATACCGCATTAAAGATCTTAAAAGAACGATTCATTTGAGTATTTCATTTTTTTACTCTTAACTTGAAATTATGGGTAATCCAGAGGTGTTGTACTTCATATGGGGCCCACCCAGATAATTGTTGTGTCGTTACGTCATTGGATCAAAGTGTTGTGCCTTCAAATGTTGCGTTCTGTAAACCTTTACAGCTACTTCACTTTTGCAGGTCTGCTTAATCTCCTTAGATTTTTTTTTAACTGTAATTTTGGTCCCACACCAGCCTATGAAATGCCTCAGCAGCTCAACAGTTAAAACTTACTGGCTTGCAGATCACACAAATACATTTTGGTGGGGGGTTTTTTTATTGATCGAATGCATAAATGCACCGAAGCTTTGCAAACCCATTGAAGTGTATACTGCATGTGTCAACAAACAACTGAATCCGTCCATACCCCTTACCCCCAGATTCCACATACTCCGTCAGCGCTCCGCTCCGCTCCGCCCCGCTGACGTACGTCGTGCGGAGCGCTTGTCTTTCATGGAAATCAATGAGAACGGTTCCACATCCACCGCTACTCCTCCGCACGTCTCCGTCCACGTACGTCTTCTCCGTCCGTCACCGACAAATTACGGAGCCGAGCTATTTTTTGCTCCGCTCCGGTCCGGCCAAGTCAAGATCCGCAATTGCAATCGCACCAAACAGGAAAAAGAACCTCGACAAATTCCGGTTCGTCAAATTAAAATATAGTAGCAACAGATTGGTGACTTTGCGTGGAACTGTTTATAAAGCCGTATGTTCGGAAAGGAAGCTCGAGGCGGAGAAAAAGCTAGAGAATATATGTATATATATGTGTGTGTGTGTGTTTACAGTCATGGAACTCTGCTTACAGCTCCTTCATATTTCATGTACACTAATAACCTTTGTAGCCTACATGGTTCTTGTTGATGGCATTAAAATCATTTCTAATAGCATTAAAATAGCATTAAATTAGAGCAAGGGCGTAGGTTTGATTTGAACTTTGGTAGGGACACTATTGGTCGGGTGTCATTGGTGCTGCAATATGCATGCCCTTTTTTATGCTCGATGTGAGCATCCGTACTGATAAGACGAATTCATTGTTAAAAGAGAAAAGCATCATTTTGCTACATTAATAAAAATTTTATAAGCACTACACTCACTAGATCAATGTTTGAAGTATCACTGGCTCTGATGAATGTGGAATTAGGACTGTTTTCCACTTTGTAAATGGTTTCATTTGCATGACTAATAGAGAAGGTAAATACAGTATTTTCTTTTGAAGATATACAATTGTGCAGAGTTAAACCCCACTCTTATATTTTACCTACTATGCTCTCTCTGTATCCAGCAAAATAATACATTCAATAAAATATTAACTTCACTATAAAAGTTGAACATCTGGGCTGTAGTTACTCTGTATAGCCCATTTTATGTATTTTATCTAGGGCTGAAAAAATGAATCGTATTAATTGATTATTTCAATAATCGTCAACTAATTTAGTATGTGATTAATCATTAACTGGTGAATGGAGACTATAAAACATAATATAAATGTAAAATAAATGTCCCTTTCCCCTATAGAACAATCAACTTAGATCAGTAATTATACCAAAATTGTAAAAATACAATATATATATATATATAAGATTTAAAAAAAATTTTTGTCTGTCAATATTCTCCATCCAGAACTCCTCATGTGGAAATATTTTAGTTTCACCTGGTTTATTTAGACATCACCTGAAGCACTGAAGGGCAGCTGCTTTACCTACAAGCTGCCCTGCATCATTATTACTGGATATCTGTGTTTCCTATAATCATATAATGTATAAGTGCAATTTTAATAGTAAAGGATTAAATGTAACACAACCTTTTATCATTGTCCTATATTGCTTACTGTCTGACTGTTTAAATAGCTCCTTACTGTATGTCTATTTTCTTTTTTAGTGGAATCATCTACGAACACAACACTAAGAATGAGCCTAATTGTACCGTATTCAAATATAAAATAATTTTTAACAATTATAAAAGACAATATAACACTATCTTATCTGTAATTTAACATTATCCAAAATAAACAGCCAGATTCCAGCATTTTTACCAGACATTAATGTTTGTACTAATTTACTTATAGACTGTGTGGAAATCAATGTAAGATAAAATCAATGTTTATATTCTTCCTTTTTTTGTTCTTGTCTTTATCCTATTTCTAGAAGTATAAATAGTCAATAAAATAGAACTATTATTATGTGGAACCCTAATTATGCTTTTTAAATGAAAAACAGCAGATGTTTAGGCCCGATTTCTTGTTGTTGTACTCTATAAGAGAAATAACACCTGCTAATAATTATACCTGAACTTTCTCAAAGAGTCATAAAAAATGAAAACAGTAATAGCAACTAAATATTGGTAAAAAGGAAACCCTCACATTTTCTTTTTTAGTTGGCTGTGGATAAGAATCAGAAATGTTGATGGCTTACAGCCTTTATTTGCCCATTTTGTGTCTTCAGAACTCCTGGCTGACTCAGAATATTTCGCTTTATAAAAGAAAAAAAAAGGTTTTTGTTTTTTAGTGTACATGATATTCATTTTTTTTAATTGGGACTAGTTTTGTAGCCTAATATTTATTGTAGTAACCGCAGCATTCTAGTGTGAATAAATTTTCAATTTTGTGCTCCAAGCACGCCAGGACTAGAAAACAGCCAATCAGAGAGAGAGGAGGCGGAACCTAAGGCAGAACAACCAATGAGAGTGGAGTTAAACAGCGCAGCACAGTTCCATGCGCTGCTGCGTGAAAGGGACAGGAGAGACCAGGCAGAGGAACTGCGAGAGGAAAAGAAGCCACTGCTGCAACAACTACTGCTGTAAATTATAAACATGTTGCTCACATCCAATTATTGGCAGGGACAATTAGGTCGGTTCAAAATTTTGGCAGGGACATGTCCCTATGGTCCCTATGCAAACCTACGCCCATGAATTAGAGTCACTCACTCCTGTATGAACCCTGTGAGCGCTTGATTTAATATGGCATATTAAAAAAATCCCACCATCATCCAGCATATGTTCAGTTTCTGCCCAAATATATAAATATATATTTGTAGATTTTTGTAACAGAGATAAGGATAATTCAAAACTGCTTTTTTTTAATGAACTTGTTCTCTACAACTCAGCATCTCTTTTCATTCCTGTAATAAGAAGTTTCTTTTGAATGGATTTGATTAAACTTTAAGTCCCTCGGTATAAAATAAATATTTTAATGGAGATGAGAAATCTGCTTCCTGGTTGGTGAATAACCAATAGTTTGGATCCAATCATTTAAATAAACGGTGTTAGTTTTTTTTTTTTTTTTTTTTTTTTTTTTTTTAGATATTTATATATATTTATGGATATTTTTTAGATAATATCTGACGAAATTGTTTTTAGAAGCATTTTTATTAAAGAATCATAAATGCAACGATAAACATATTTAATTAATTTTAGTGCCAATTAAGGCCTTGATTAAAAAAAGAATTATGAATTGTAATTATTTTTAATGATCCGCGGAAACCCTGGTTCATCTGGCGCATGCCTTCTACGATCTCCAAGGAACTCAGAGCGGAGGGGACGGAGCAACAGCGGCGGCTGTAGGCTTTGCTTTGTGCAGGCGGTCTGGAGCGCAGCGGGGCGGAGCGGAGCGGAGCGGAGCGCAGATGGAGTATGTGGGATTTCGGGGTTATTCATCTTTTGTAACCGGAACACCCCTCCGGTTGACGGATAGAGGCCCCGAGAAATGCGGGACAGCCATTGGATAAAATCGTCATCAATCAGAAACGCGCTCTGTGATTGGTCAGCTCTCTAAACATTACACAACACGTTTCATAAATGTAAACTGTGCGAGTTGTATAAGGTTTAAATCGCAGAGTTCGTCTTTGCGCTTCTTTCCTGCAAGGGGATCACATTAGTGCATCTCTGTTAACTGACACGGTAAGAGAGTTTGATGGAGTATTTGCTTAAGATTGGGGAGTTTTTGTCTTCACCTTTAAAATGTTATATCTGAGATCCGTTGGATTATTTTAGAAATTAGCAGGGATGCACCAAATTATTATGCAGCAGAGCATCTTACAGTGCTCATGAGGAAGTTGCAAACATATGCTGTTTGTGTTCTGTTTGTTTTTTCTAACTAAGATGATGTAAAATCCTTTAGTATTCTTGTGATCAAAATAACAGATAAACAGTGTCTTGCAAAAGTGTTCACATATTCTTATATTTTTAAAGCCAAGTAGTTGGGCTTTTTTTGTTATTCAGAAGATCAGAGGGAGCTTCAGGGAAATACACAACACATTTGTTTAATGTGCAAAATATCTCTTTATATTTTTTACTTTACAGTTTGCACCTTTTTATGATTTTTCAGCTATAATCACAATTGAATATATATAAATTTATAGTGTCACAAATGTTACACTATAAATTAAAAATTACAATTACTAGAAACTCTGTTATTTAACCTACTTTGTATCAGTAACTAAGCAATAAAAATAAGTAGCTTTAAAAACTGGATTAATCACCTTTGTTCCTCCTTACCAACAGGTTTTATCATGTTGGGCTCAGGATTACTGCTCCTCCTGGTAACACTGTGGCATCGGACCGATAGCCAGAACTCTGCTGCTTTCTTCCAAGTAGTAACTCAGACCATGTTGCCGCCTGACAGTGTGCACAATCCAACACAGCTCAACTATGGCATGGCTGTGACCGATGTAGACGGTGATGGTGACCTAGAAGTGGTGGTAGCAGGGTAAGGGTTGATATGTGTAAGGAAAGATATGGTGTGTGAAGGATTAAGCGTCTGACTAAAGCAAACCCTGATATGTTCTTTCAAAGATACAATGGTCCGAATCTGGTGCTGAAATATGACCCCAACCAAAGAAAGCTGGTAAACATCGCCATCGATGATGTAAATTCCCCATACTACGCACTTAGGGACAGAGCAGGAAATGCTATTGGAGTGACTGCCTGTGATGTAGACGGGGACGGACGTGAAGAGATCTATTTCCTCAACACAAACAATGCCTACTCTGGTAAATTTTAATTTAAGCAGTTAGATTCATCAATGCAAATATCTTTAGGGTAGCTAAATGACTCTGTTTGTTCAGGGCGTGCAACATATTCAGACAAGCTTTTCAAGTTCCGTAATGGTCGGTATGAAGATCTGCTCAGCGATGAACTCAATATCGCCCGTGGTGTTGCAAATCAAATGGCTGGACGTTCAGTTGCATGTGTGGATAGAAAGGTCTTTGCTCAGGCTTTTTTCTGTAGTTTCCATTTGCTTATCTATAGGAATATTCCTCTGAACTTGTTGGTGTTTTCCAGGGAACAGGCCGGTATTCCATATATCTGGCAAACTATGCTCAAGGAAGAGTTGGTCCACATGCCCTTTTGGAAATGGATGAGACCGCCAGCGATTTGTCCAAAGGAGTCATTGCCCTCTCTGACGTCGCCGCTCAGGCTGGGGTCAACAAGTTGACAGGTCAGAGATAATGCTCTAGAGCAGCAGCATGCACATTTTAGAACAAACGCTTCATGGTCTACCTGCTATCCAGGTGGTCGTGGTGTGGTTGTTGGACCAATCCTGAACCAAATGAGGTCTGATGTGTTCTGCGACAATGAGAACGGTGCCAACTTCTTGTTTAAGAATAATGGAGATGGGACTTTTGTGGACATGGCCCAACAAGCAGGTGAGACAAAAAAATGGAAGAAGATAAGAAATTTTATTTGACAAGCATAGAAATTATCTACATTCAAAATAATCTATAATGCATTACTTTTGTGTTTTTCTTATTTAACTAAAGTCCAGCATTTAGAGGTGCATCGATTCAATGGCCTTGATTTCCTTCATTTTGGGAGATCAGGGATCAGCCGATAATGAAATATTAAACTAATCCTTTCTGCAGATCTTAAGTACCGGTACCTCTGCAAAGGTCTGAAAAACAGTACTCTAAACTTTGATTTACATTTGAGAAAAGTAATTTCAGGATATTCTATTGTTTCATAGTTACTGATTAATGCCTTTTAGTAAGATAAGATTGAAATATTTAAGAGGTTTTTTGATCTTATAACAACCGATAGTGTATTGACCTAATTCGCAATCGGCATGTCAGGCTTTTTAAAGATTGGGAATTGATAATCAGCCAGGAACCTGCAATTGGTGAACCCTTACTAGTATTGGAAACCAATTCAATTTCATTTATTTATAAAAGACCATCTTATACTAGCTGCAAAACAAGACCAATGCTAATAAAGTTCATTTAAATCATCACAATACTACCTTTTAAATAAGATAAACTCAAATCATGTAGTTTTTGATATTACTATAATAGAGTACCAGACTTTGAATGGTATACCTTTAACTATATAGCACTTTATCAAGTCTGAGGCTCTCTGTCCACCAACACCAGGAAAGGCTTGTGAAGGTTCTTCCTTAAGAACACTACAAACCCGTGCCTTGTTGTTTTACGACCTGTCTAGGGTTGCCAGACCATAAAATATTAGACATAAATATAAGAGTGGATCCATCCTCTTCCCATCCCAAGCAGCTCACACATACGAAGTAGCACATCTTTAGAAAGTGATTTATTTACAAAAAGGAAAATAGTTCTAAAGTTACATCATAAATGGAGCAAATGACTTCAGAGAGAGCTATGTGCCGAAAATAACACACAAAAGGCAACTGTCTAAAACAAAGAAATGAACCAACATACCTACTGCAGTATAAGTAAACAAATGACAGTCACCTTACCTCCTTAACTAAGAAAACAGGAGAAAACTTAAGCAACAGAAATGGCAGCTCCTTCTTACAAGCTCAAGAATATTCAGATGTTAACAGTATGGTCAGTTGGGAAGAGCTGCCTTTTTATAGTTGTCACTTCCAGGAAGCCACCAATGGGATGTCATGTCGTTATCATCCTGGAACCAATCAGCAACTGACACCTGCACACTTACATTTACATACAAATTTACAACGCCAGCCGTAACACTCGTGTGCCACTTTCACTCCACAAAGGGAATAATCTCTCCTCTTGAGCATCTTCTGTAATAAGTCCCATGCAGACCCAGGCTTTGTGCAACCAACCAACTCTACTAGTGTAGAGATCAATTCGAGACAGTGCCCTCAGACACAATGGTCCAGGAGTAAATGAATTATTAATGTCATACAGGCAAACATTTATACAATTTAGATTAGTAACCCATAATGTGTTGCCAGCTAACAGGCATCTTGATTTCAAAAGCAGTATATTTTAAATCTTATGTACATGTTGTTATTATGTGTGGTTTTGGCCAATGACTCTGACTTATTGATAAGATCATTGTATTTTGAAAATGAAATTATTCAAGCTGCCTTTTCCAGTTTAGAGCAGTCTTTTCCTGATTGTGTCAGGGATTCTCCCAATAAGGATGAAGCATGTGGGACATATTCATCACGTATTCATAGATATTACTGGCTGTGTTCCTGCAGATAATAATACTATTATTAATCACCTTATGCATTATTAAAGATTTTACAATTATCCTAATATAATTTATTATCTTAGATAAAAAAATATATATATATATATATTTCATTGGAACATTTTTGCTGTTTCCTTGAGAAAAGGTGTGGAGGACCGGTTCCAACATGGAAGAGGAGTAGCTCTGGCTGACTTCAATGGCGATGGGAAAACAGACATTGTCTACGGCAACTGGAACGGCCAGCACAGACTCTACCTCCAGACCAGTGATTCCAAATTCCGTGTAAGGGAATAAAGGCTAATACATAAAATGATCTTGGCTTAACTAAAGGTTTTTTGAGACTTTATATACATTTTTTTTTTTGAACAGGACATTGCCACTGGTGGGTTTGCTTCCCCATCCCCCATCCGCACTGTCATCGCTGCAGACTTTGATAATGACAAGGAGCTGGAGGTGTTTTTTAACAACATTGCCTACAGAGGAACTGCACCAAACAGGGTGTTCAGGTAAAATCTCTAATTTTATAGATATAAACTGTGGATTTATTAATAAATAGGATCTTTATTAAAAGTTTTTGATTGTCTGCAGGGTGTCAAGAAGAGCTAATGCAGATCCTTTAATTGAGGAGCTTAATGTAGGAGATGCTGCAGAGCCACTGGGTCGAGGAACAGGTAAGCTGACTGTAATTTCAGAGCTGATGTAACGCTAACTGCTTCTCTTTCTGTAGTGGTGAATCTGTTAGTTTAAACCAGTTTAAACCACATGACACAGTGGGTCAGGGCAATAAAGAAGAGTGTGTGTGTTTTGAACAGGTGGAACTGTGACAGACCTTGACGGGGATGGACAGCTGGATCTTCTCTTGGCTCATGGGGAGAGTGCCCAGCAGCCAATCTCTGTCTTTAAGGTCACACAGGTGTGTGTTTGCAGGTTTTTTTGGCTTTGACTTAAACCTGATTACCATCTGGATAATGTTTAATCATCTTTTCATTAGGGTTCATCCAACAATTGGCTGCGGGTCATTCCTCGTACCCAGTTTGGAGCTTTCGCTCGCGGTGCCAAAGTAACAGCCTTTACCGCTCAGAGTGGAGCACTAACACGTATCATCGATAGTGGCTCTGGATATCTGTGTGAGATGGAACCTGTTGCCCATTTCGGATTAGGTACAGAATCTAATGTTAGACTTTAATGGGACAAATCTCAAATATACCGTTGTGGTACAGTTCTTTTTAACGCATACAGTTTATCCTAGTAATGGTCTTTTTTGTTAGATTCAAATATTGACATTCATACACTTTATTCTATAGGTTCATTTCACAGAGTTGTATACCGGGAGGAAAATAAGTATTTGAACAACCTGCTATTTTGCAAGTTCGCCTACTAAAGGCTGGTTTATGTTCAGAAACCAGGGTGTCTCTGTGCGTGTCATGGTTAACGCAGAAATGCCCCCAAATTTGTGGGTGACCACCGACAATGCCACAGAAAGGAGGCATCTGGTTGGTCAAATCTACATCCGCTCTACATTATGCGTAATTCCTGCTTGGTACCTAATGGCAGAAACTTGGGCTGTAGTGCCGTCCACAACACCAAGGACTGAAACTGTCCCAGACACCGTACAGGACACTAGTTTTTAGCTCTGTGCGACGGTCTGTTGGTTTGTACCCAAAGCCAAAACACGCAGCGCCACGGCCAGTCCTTCGGGAACACACAAGGGTGAACTGTGTGTTGTCTGGCGTTGGATGAGGGGTTGTAGATGCAGAACAAGCTTGTCAAACTGACACACAGACACCCACAATCCTAGCTAATTCGTGATTGTCCTTCTTGCATTGTGGCGTTGAGGGACATAGTGCAGACCACGCTTTAAAAATTGGGCATAAATCAAAAAATATCTGCGTCATACCTGCAACAAGCTAACTGCGACACACTGCTGCAGGTGTATACACAGCCCTTTAAAAATCATGTAGGTGTCTGGAATTGTCATCGTAGGTGCGTGCCCAGTGTCTGAGACATATTCAAAAAAGAGAACCCAGAAATCACAATATATGGTTTTTGTACTATTTATTTGAAATATAGAGCTGCAAATAAGTATTGTAGGCCCAGGATGCTGGAAAGAGGCCCTTGGGTCATCTGCATTGTCGGATCTAATGTCTCTCATCATCTTCATGACAATACGCCATAGATTATCTGCGTGTTTCAAGTCAGGAAAGTTTCCTGCTCGATAAAGCAGGCAAACACTGTGATAATTTAACCAGCTTAAGTGCCAAGGCCTTCTGGAAAGAAACCAGCCTCTTTGTAAAGATTTTCAGCAAAAGGAAGCATTAAGTGCACCAAAATGGTTAATATTTGTATTAATTTTGGAGTCCAGAAAACATAATCCTTCCAGAAAAAACAGCAATTGATCGTTCCATTTTCAGGTTGAACAACATTCAACCTTTTCTAACACCTGTATCTTCCAGGAACAGATGAGGTGAAAGTTCTGGAGGTCTCCTGGCCAGATGGCACCACCACAACACGAACTGTTGAGGCAGGAGAAATGAACTCTGTGGTGGAAGTAGCCTACCCCAAAGAGGGAGAAATGTCCGTGCTTGCCAATAACACGCAGGTACACAGCACGGATTCACGGCATGAATTGTGAACATATGTAGTAACTCTGTAAGTGCATTAAAAGAATGAACCAACAAATCACAGTATTTATTCATACTGTGTACATTTCTAAAACGACCTAATTAAAACAGTGTGAGAAACTGTCCTTTATATGACTTTGAATTAAATGTTAATTTTTTTTATTTTTTTTGCTTTCAGTGTGGGAACGGCTTTACTGTCCAGAATGGGCGTTGTACAGGTAAGCCAATATTAAATGTTGCATCTTTTTCTAATATGAAACTAAATCGTTTTGTTTTCTGTTTACGTTATATTTTTTTTCAGCAGGTGTTTGAGGGAAGTCACATGAAAAACCATAAACAGTTGCTGTGCTGGAATACAGATAATATGGACCTAAAGCTTTTAATCTTGTGTTCATTACTCTATGAGTAGTCTTATTGTTTTAACTTTCTTTATTTTACTAACCTTTTGTTTCATTGCCTTAAAAGACCTGTTTAAAAGACACTGTTAATAAATGCTTTACTTCACTATGCTGGGTCAGGTTTTCATTTAATGGAAAAGCAGTGTGTCTGTCTGGCTTCCCTTGAAAGCCCTTTTGAAGTCTTGAATGTCTGTTAACACCCTGTAGTACCTCTTTTTGTCTTGCTACATCCACAAACCTAAAAATATTTTTATTGGAATTTTATGTCTAAGATAAGCAAGAAGTAGCACTTAATGGTTAAAAAGAAAACATTAATGTTTTCTTTTTTAATGAGCAAGCAAAGTGGAAACTGGAAAGTGTGGCAGGGCTTCTCTACTTAGACCCAATGCTTTGCTTTGTCATATTTTACCAGCTTTACATAACTCTTAAATAATCTGTTCCATTCTTTACATTTTTTTTTTCAAGCGCAGATGGAGTGAGTTTAGGAACATTAATGTTGAAGCCTTGTCACAGTTGTTCAATCTGAGTATGTTTTTGCACTTTAACTAGGCAATTTTTGCACATTTTTACGCTTCAATCTCAATTGTTCGCTTTTATCTCTGGTTGTATTGTTATTATCCTGTTGGAAGATGAACTCTGCCTTAATCTTAGTTTTCTTGCATCCTCCAAAAAGTTTCCTTAATTGATTACTCTCCAATTAGCTCCATCTATCTTTTCATCAATTCTCACTAGTTTCTGCTGAAGAAAAATACTCCCGATAGCACAATGCTTTCAATACCAAGTTTCAGAGAAACAACAGTCTTTCTTTATTTATAATAGAGTACTCAACACAGAACAGCTAAGATGAGTGTCTGCAATAAATTCTTAACAAAATAAAATAAAAGACCAGAAATAGCACAGTGAAAAAGTTAAGATTTTTATGAATAAAGCTGTTCTAAAACAATGAATCTAAAAGGGTAGTTGTAGAACTGTCGTGGGCTGGCTGTTAACCATGACTCTTTCTTCTTTAAGAAAGTGCTTCAGTCTAGATCTGAAAATGGGCCAAAATATCACATCTTATAAATAATGGCTTACACAGAAAAAGGTATTGATCGTAATGTTTAGTTTTTTATTAGGCATTTTTAGACATGTCCCAAAACTTAATAGTATCCTTAGATTATCTCCTATATGTGTGTCCCCTTACATGGCATGTGGTGAATGATCAGATTTATACATTTCCTGGCTAAGAATTTTTTTGTGAACTACTTTTTCCAACCTGCGCCATAGAGGGGCTTAAAAATGACCAAGGACTGATAAATATACTTCTTTACCAGTTTAGGTTAATCATGTCTTGGTGGGTTTGCAATTCAGTCATATTCTTTCTGCTTTCAGACAGCAGACTGAACAGTTTTCAATGAGAGATTATTGACTGTTCATCCCTACATCAAACTTCTCTACAACTTTAACAACCTAAATCTGTGCTCTTCCTCGATCTTTACTGTCCTTTGTTCACTAATGTTCCCTAATAAAAGTCTGATGCCTTCAAAGAACAGCTGTTTTTATACTGACAGTTAAATATGGATTCCACCTTTATTTGGTGACTTCCAAAGTAGACAGTTTGAAGTGGATTTTGTGCAGGGTTCTTTAAGTAAAGGGAGCAAAATTCAAATGCATGCACCACCTTACAGATATTTTTTGGCTATGTACCTTCATTACTGTGTTCTTTTTGCGCTTCTTTTGCTTTACATACTGTATCTTACTTGCTCACATAAATCCAATTTATATAGGTTGTGCTACTGTGAGTCACATATACAGAATGGAGTATCTTTATTAACTCATTCGCCTTTAAGGCCTGTTTTTTTTGCCCTCCCTTCCATGCTGATGGCATTTTTCACTGTCACCCTTTCATATTTGTTGCTCTTTCTGCTGTCTCTCTCCATCCATGCAGCTCTAGCACCATTTCACTACGGACTCCGTTCTTCAGTCTCCATCCTTGATGCGCCCCATTGTGACACACTTTCATTTATGTGTGTCATCACACTGTTTGCAGTGGGAGGCCTAAGGTGAGAATTGTCAGCAAGAGAACTGACAAAACAGTTTTCATCAAGCTCCATGTGTGTGGATCAAAGAGCATCTGAAAAGAGTGACCAAAAGGTCTTTGACGTGATGCCCGACCACCTGGGTATTTCCGTTTTGTTTTGACTGGGTTGGCTGCATGCAGAAGCTGCTATCAGAGATCTGTCCTTTCCTCAAGAGGTGGTGGAATGTAACAAGTCAGGTAGACATAAATGTAACAACAATGAAATTTGTATCAACAGTTTTCTGCAGATTAAGGATACCAAAGCATGTGAGGAGGGTAAATGTGTATTTAAAAGTATCCATCAGTAAACCAAATGCTCAATATTGAAACATTAATTACTACTGATATTACTCTTGATGTCTTTCCTTGTGCATTTTCATCATGAAAGTGTTTTATGCATGCACTAAAAACAGAGATAGATAAAAAAAATATGATTTTAATATTTTCAGTAACATTGTTTTAACCAGACAGCAGATGTTTTGTAAATATTGGGTCATAATTATATGACAGCTACTAAAATATGGCTGAAAGTTTGAATTTGAAAAAGAAATGTTTTTGCATGTACAGATGGACATGGTGCTGATAAATAAAAGGGAGTAAACACTGTGGGTGTGATGTCTTACTAAAACAGGCTACAGTCCTTGCAGAGTCTGTATCGTTTTGCTAACATCTCATTTGGATTGGAAATATATATATATATTTTTTCTGGGTGCTGAATTATAACAAAACAGATTGTTTGAACTTACACGTGATGAGTATTAGTGATATCATAAGCTTTACTATGACATGCAAGAATGAGAGGATGATTCTTTATCATTTAATGAATATGTATGAATAAAAGTTCCCATCACCTTGCAAAAATACACAGAAACTAACCAAAATACATGGCAAGTACACATCATACAGGCATAATCATTCACACACCCATTCATATCTTTGATTTTTCAAAGTAGTATTTAAAAAGTTTTGATTAAAATGGAAAATAATTTGTGTATTAAAAAAAAGATGCAGTTGAGGGGAATAATTGGTTTCTTTGAATGGTTTAAAGTCTTCAGTCAGATGGCAACAAGTAAAACAATCAGAGTAGAGGTAGAGAAATAGTTGAAAGTTTTGATTTCGTTATTATCCTATACTTTTTGTGTAATTCATATATGCAAATCACAAAAATAATATTTCCTCAAAAGAAATACAATTTTGTGCAAAAATACACACATTTTTGTGTTTGGTCTATTTTTGCAGAAATTGTACTTCAGTTTTAATTCGAGAGGTACAAGCTTCTACGGGAGCTGATGATCATCTTCCATACAACCACAAGCTTCTTTGCTCAAATTTATCACACTTTGCTTTGGCTTATCTACAAAACAGTTCAGATTCAGACGACAACAATTGGGGACGTTCAGGGGGGATCATCAGGGCTGACATTCCCTCCATCCTGGAATCGTACTGGTTAAAAATGAGGAAAAAATCCTAAGCATGAAATCAGAGTTAAATTTTTTGTTTGTGGCCACAATCTCAGCCAATAAAGCTTCTAATTGTTATTATATAAATGGATTCTATAAGGGAATGGAGCACAAAGGTGTTTCCTTGGAAGAGCCCAGCTCAGCCAATAAGCCCCATCAGGCATGCTGACTTGCAGTCAACACCAGAGAAGGTAAAATCTAATCTCAACAGTCAAAAAAAATAAAAAATTGTAGTTGAATTTTAGTTTGTTGGTTGTCTCTGGTGTTGGTTTTCACATTTATAATATCTTAACCAGCACAGGGTGCTGTAAACAAACTTTTGAATTGAAGGTTCAAAAACTAAATGAAAAATAACTTGCTTGTTTTTTTGTTTGTTTGTTTTTATCTATTATTTATTTTTTTTTTATTATTATTATTTTTTTTTTAATTTTAAGATGACCTGTTTGTAACTATTCAGTGATCAAATTATTTCACATATGCCCTGTGCTTGCTCAGATCTGGGGTTTGTTTCAAAAACCAGTTTTACTGACAATAAGTTTTCTCAACCTGAAATCAGGGAAACTGAGTTTTCTGTTTCACAAAGAGATTTTACTCAACCCAATTCTGTTCCTGTAGTAAATTTCTCCCCAGAGCCGACCTGGTCAGCAGCAGGTTTTCTTGAGTAAACTCATGAAGTTGTTTTATTTCCTGATTTAGTCCAGGATATTTTTTCTTAATTTTGTGCATACAGTAAATGAAATCTTTCAATAGGTCCGTAAAACACATTAGGTTTTAAAAACAGACATTGCATGTCCTTTTGATGAGGATCTTATTAAAGACGAATCAGCATTAATTCACAGAGAATTAAATATTTATAGGCAGAGGATTCTAAAACTCAGTTGACCTTATATTAGATTTATATGTTTTGGTTTGTTGAATATGAGCGAGATGCAGATCATTTAGCCTATTTATTCACTTTTTTCAGTACATACAAAACATACAGAAATTATTTTCAGATTACACAGAAATAGATTAATTAATTGTGTAGGGAATAAATAATTACTTTAGGGTTTGGATTAAGTTTCATTCAGTGACTGTTGGTAGTCTAAGGCACACCTGTGCACTAATCATGGGCTCTGTTGGAAAACCTGGGCTGCATCCTCCAAGGACGCGGTCTACCTAGACTGGATCCTTCGAAGTCCTTGAAAATAAGGAGGCCGGAAGAGATTTGGCTGTGAATTCGAACAGGTCTACCCTTCGGCGGGTTTTACCGCTGTAAGCTCTGTTGCTTAGCAACCGTGAAAGTTGAAACACAAAACAGGAAAAGAATGAAAACCGAGGTTTTCAAAACTGTTTGTTTATTTATTTCTTTTTTATTGTAACGTGAACAAAGACTACACTCACAAGAATCCAGAATGGAATAAAGGTTCCAACCACCGTTAGCAGGAACAAATAAAATCAAATGTAATGATAGAAACCTTAGTCAGTTAAATAACCTGCTGCTGTCATTTTGCACATCTCTGATGTTGCTGCTATTTTCAAATATCCATCACTGTAAAAATGTCCATAGCTGCATATTGGTTATTTATTCTCCAGTTTTAAATTGTCAAAGCACTTTACAGAATTGTATTGTTTTTTTTTGTTTGTTTTTTTAACTCTTCCCTTTTATGTTATTCTTATACATTTTTCTAAGGTCCACATTTGTGTGACCATTTTCAATAATCTTTCTTCTACAGTAAATTTGCCCGTTGTGGAACAATAAAGAGATTTTCTATTCTATAAAAGGGGTAGAAAGATATAAGTAAATCTAAACAATGTATGTATAAAAAATATATCTGCAAAATCTCTAATATTCAACAACAAAAAATACTTAGTTAAGCATATTGTGCAAAACAGCAATAAAAAGATAAAAAATCCTATCAGATTTATAGTCCCCACCCTGCAGATATATTAGAATCTGTCCTTAAATTACAGCCAAACAAATTTACACAGTAACAGATAAAAACCTTTAGATAAATCAAACATTACCGCCACATATCTGACTCATTAACCATTAAAACAGCTATTTTCATTAATTTCAGACGGAACTATTCACTGACTTGTATTATATTAAACTGAACTTCCAATTTTCACCACTGTTCGGCGCCAAGTAACCTTTCCTCTGATCACGGAACAGCCGGCTTGCTTGGTCTCGCAATGAATCCTGGGATATCCAAGGATACCGAGGATACATCAGACCAGTCCTTCAAATCGGGCAAAAAGAAGGACGCATTTTAAGACCGCATAACGAGGACTCTTAGAATCCGACCAGACCTCGGCGCCGTGCTATGATGTAATCGCCCTTCAAATCTGGCCTTCTAAGGACGCCTCCTAGGTTTTCGAACAGAGCAATGGTGTGTAATCAGCATCTTGATATGGCACACCAGTGAGGTGAGATGGATTATCTAAGCAAAGGAGAAGTGCTCAATATCACAGGTTTAGACTCATTTGTGAACAATATTCTCAGGATGACAGTGATGTCAGATGTAGGAGTTGGCCCTGAAATCGAAAGGATCGAGAGTTCAAGCCCCGGCTCTGGCTTTTAATGTCATTGTGTCCTTGGGTAAGACACTTCATCCACATTGTCTACTGATGGTAGTCAGAGGGCCTGGTGGCGCCAGTGTACGGCAGCCTTGCTTCTGTCTGTGAGCCTTAGGGCAGCTGTGGCTACAATATAGCTTGCAATCATCAGTGGGTGAATGACTGAAAGCAGTGTAAAGTGGTCAAGTCTAATGAATTGAAAAGGCAATATATGAGAGCAGGCCACTTACCATATTTGCAGGAAAATTTTGTATGTGGAAATAGTTTTAGACCTTCGAGTTCATCTTATTAAAAAAAAAGTGTTGTATTTATATTTTTGTTGAGTATATATATATTTTTGTTGAGTATATATATATATATATATATATATATATATATATTATATATATATAAGAAAACACAGGATTATTAAAGAATGTGATGAAACAGTTTTATTTGACACATATTTAGACTTTTATGCCACATGTTTCAACTATCAATATGAAAACATGTACTTTCACAAAATAAAAGTGACATTCACTTTAGACATTTAATATTCTTTGGAAGTGTGTCCATGAATCAGGGAAGGGCAGCTGTACCTTTAAAATAAAGATTTAGGAAGACTTTTTGATCCATCATTCCCCTCCTTACATCCAACCTAACTCACAGTGAGTCCTTGCATAATCTAATTATAGGAAGAGTCTGGCTCATTAAAACAGAGAAGGTTAGTTCTCATAAACTGCAGGTGTCTGCATGCCTTCAAAAGGAAAATGAAGATTTAAGAGTGAAAAGTACAGAGAATCTGCTACATTATAAACTTGAATAGTTTGACAGTCATCTGCCTTTGCGCAGTGTTTAAAAAGGAGGTAAAAGAAAAGGGAAATTCTCAACACTGGTCATGTGAGGTTTTGGCAAGTGAACTTTTCACTGAGTAAAAATGTCTCTGGAGTCAGTTTGAATCACAGAAAACACATTGTTTACAAAAATCCTCTTCCCGATGTGCCGAGCTAATTTGAATGAGGTAAGCAAAACATCCGGATTGGCAAGGGGATCTTTGTTGTGCAGCTACTTGGTGTAAGTTGAGGTATAAGGTTAGGTGAAGTTTGTGGTTGTATTTGGCTTGGCACCTTTCTCTTTGTGTCTTTCCTTGAAGAGGGCGGAAAGTTAAGAAACGGTGCAGTCAGATGGAGAAAATATGGCTGTATAGACTTTTTAGATCCTTTTGAACACTTCTAAAAGAAAAAGAGAGGTAAAAAATGGTCCCATTGAGCAATTGTTGTCAAAACTAATCCAACATATATGTACACGCTTACGTCAAAAAAAAAACAAAAAGGCTTTTTCTCTACGTTGGTTTCAAAGCTAAACCAAAACCAGAACCAGTTCTTTCACTAGCAGTGGTTCTTAAAAAAACTAGTTAAGGACATGTTGGCTTTCCTTTAGCCATTGAGCCATGTCACTGTAATAATGTTTTTAGTGGGACTCAATGTTTGTGGAATCCACTAACCAGCCTTTTTGACCTCTGAGCCTTATTAATAAATCCAGCTGGGTTTTCACCTGAACAATAAACAGGAGACACAAAAAGGAAGGTCTTTCAGGAAGCGTTGTAGCAGAATCTACCTCCTAAGAGGGCTGTAATGTTTTGGAGTCCAGGGGATACTTCTGTACACTTTTTTGACCCTGCGTTTATTTAGGGGCCAGTAGCTTATCAACTGAGAGAAGGCAGTTAGATAAGGTATTCAAGAAGGCCGCCTTTGTCTGAGGATGCTCCTTGCTCCTAACTGTAGCTGTAACTCCCCCACTCTGAATCAATAAAGGATTGTTTATTATATTTTAAATGTAAAGTAGGATTTAAACTCCACAAAGTCTAATAATATATCATTGAAAACTGTTTAAAATAGTAATTGCGATCAAAGCTTTTTGCAGTGCACCCAAACAACCTTTGCTGTAAGAGCTTAGGTTCTTTATCCTTCAGGCTTCAACCTTGCGCTTTTAGTATCTTTTCATGTATTTAATGGACATAAAGCTAGGCTGTTTAGTTCTTGAATTTTTGGCTTTTAACTTTTATTTTAGTCTTCTATTTCAGTAAGTTTTACTTGTTTTTGCTCAATGTTTTCTGCTTTTGTATGCTTTCCAAATTTCCATTGAATATACAAAGGAACATACTGCTTTCCTTCTAAATTCAACCAAAATGTTTTTGGGGGAGAATTTCAATCTGATAAAGCCTCAGAAAGGTTTTTCATGGACATCAAGAGTTTGTATGTACTGAGATTGCAATACAAGCTTCATTCCAGCTTTTGCAGCTACAATGGAGTGATCTATTGATGCCCTTAATTAGCGGTAAATATCATTCAAATTTTAACAATTGTCTGCTATAAGAGGTTTTCCTTAAAAAAAAAAATAAATTAAAATAAAATTTTTTGCATCACATCTTTTCTGATTAATTCTAAACTGGTTCTGCTGACTCTATTAACAAGCATTTGAAACCAGGCTCTACCTGCTCCTATTAAGTCTAATATATTTTGTAGAGTGGCTAAATTAGTATGGATGGCCAGGCTAAAGAACCGGTGCAAAGCAGGAACTGGCTTCTTATCAGCCATTCAGAATCTTTGGTATTGCAAGACTTGGCAGTAAATATTAGAGCATTTTTACCAATCTATAAGATTATTGTTTGTGGTTAATTTAGCTTCTAATAGGAAAATAAGTTTGTATATTGGCTAATATTTGTTCTGAGACTTGCTTGCATATGTTTTTAGAGCATCCAGACTTCTCCTACAATCTAAAGAAAAGTATGTTAACTGCTGTTCCTAAATTGATTTCATTAGGTTCAACAATTCAGAGCTACTTCAATTTTTGACAAGAACATAAAGATATAGAAATCACAAAGGTACAAATCATTGTAGTTACAATGCTGGTACACTATGGGGCTTCATTTTATGACAGCAAAGCATATGTACCCTTTTGGGACCATTCTTTTCCTTGATTTTTTTACTTTGATACATTGATTTTGTAAATCCTATTTGAAGAGCATTGTTACATGTACACATCTTTCAGAAAAAAAAAGACCAAAGTGCGGGTCTTGTCTGCAGTGGAGCAATGTTTGTGATGAGCGGTCATGGACACTAATATTTTTATGGAGGCTGGTGAGTGCTCAGTGTGAACGGGAAGGCTGTTGGAATATGGTTGTTATTATTGTCCTAAGTTTTCCTGCAGGGCAAGCTTTGCACCTAGTCATCGAGCAGTGCTACCGGACACAGAACTGCTGCCGGAGCTGGAGCCACTGGAACCTCGGTCTTCATAGATGGATATTTCAATCTGGAGAATGTGGTTAGGGATGAAAACATAGTATGACCTATTATTTAAAAATGTGTGTGAATGTTTATGCTAGAAAAACTCTTCTGTAGCTGCAATGAAGAAGCAGCTTAACTCTAGTTGAAAAGTTCTGCTGTCTTTTCATGCATTAAGGTTTCTCTGATTTTGACAAAACATTTTATAGAAATTCTTTAATTAAATAGTTGAATAAGTCCCCACAGGTAAAATCAAGTAACATGCTGTAATCAACTTCTACTCACCTAGTACTGCATGGATTTTTTTCCTTTTCTAAAACATGCTTAAAGTTGACTTTAAGAACAGCTTTGACATTTAGTTTAGTTTTAAAATACAAACAAAATTGCATGTTTTAGGAAAAGCAAGGTCTGCACTGTTTGAGAAAACCCTAAAAACACCGTAATTAATCAGAATGGTTGTTTTCCTTTATAAAGACAAAGCCTCATTATTATATAAGACACTCTTATCAGGATGAAATTAGGACTTGCTGTTTTTGTAATTTAGACTTTTACTGCTATTTTCATATCAAATAAAACTGAAAGGATCAACTTTTTTGCTCGTTATTGACAAAATAAGATACATAGGAATGCACTGGCTCATTGTCTTAATAAGCTGGTTATTATATTTCATTAAGCACTGAGGTTTATCATTAACTCTGGTTTATTTACACATTATTGACCACTTTGTGTTAATGAAAAAATCTAAATCCCAACATGTTCAGTCTCTTTGGAGATGAGCGAACAAAACAAATCTGGGAAAAACATCCAAAATATCACAGCTTTTGATATGGTGTTGGGATTATTTCTATTATTATTATTATGTTAGACCCTAATAATACCTGCCTGTTATGTGTAAAAACTAATGTTTTACCAAGCAGTTTATCTGATTAGGAAAGTTATGTTCATTATTTACATAACAGATATTTGGGAATGGATAAAAGTGGATAAGAAGTTATCTCTCACACTGTATTTGTAGTGTCTTTGATCTAAAAACACTGTGTGATGTTTTGATATGGCTGGAGCCATGCATGTCTCCTCATTAACAAACATATGTGATGTAATGATGTGATGGTGTGGCAGGCTGGGCATATAAAAAGCTTCTTTAACTTTGATTTAGGGATAACTTTCTGAAGAAGAGAGCCCGATGGGTAAGCAATGCCAGCTGTAACCCTGAGCAATTTCTCTGTTCTAAATAAAATTACAATTTCTGTCAAAATCTGTTGTCATTGTCCTTTAACACATATTATGGAGTGTTTTTTAAAGAACTTGTTGTGAGTGATCTGAACGAATCGGGGAGAGAAAGATTAGATTAATCTGCTAAACTCTATATCCCTGAATTAACATAAAGCCATGTGGGAAACTCCTGAGCGTTTGCAAATTTTGTGAAGGTTTTTCCAGTTATGTTTGTCAATAATTTACTACCAGGTTTATAATCTTAAACATTGTTACAATTATTTTTGAATTCATCTCTACAGAAACAAAGATCATATAAAGCAAAATAAATAAATGAACAACAAAGGATACAACACGCATCCCCCTTTCAATTGGATCCGTGATGAGCAAACCTCTGGGAGCGTAGATCTTCTCATTCTGCTCTTGAATGTACTTAGCTATCTTCTTCAACACCTGAAAAAACGGTTTGGACAGACAGGTGACAAACATTGTAGAGTTACGTGAGAATAATCTTAACTTCTGGAATGCAATGAACTGAAGACGGGCACTGCAACCTTCTCATAGCGAGTCTCCATGCAGAGGAAGATCAAATAAGCCGTGACACATGCCAGACAGCCCTCCAGGTAGGAATGGCCTCCAATCTTTTCTGCCTCTGCATAAAAGTTGTTCAGTGTCTTCACAGTGTCCTCAAACAAAGTCCGTTCAATCTGCAAACACATTATGAACCACAGGCATCAATGAATGTGGTATAACTCTCAAAAGTTTCATTTAAAATTACATTACTGCACAAGGCTCTGTTGGTTTTTTTCTCCAAAAACATCACTATCTTTAGATAATATAAGATAATCAGACATAATTTCCCCTAAAATCTGATTGTTAGAGCTTAATTAACAGAAAAATATAAAAGGTCTCACATAAAACTAAGGCACGAAAGACAAATAATTTTACATTAAGATAGTTTAGGCATATGGATGTTTACACTGACAGGTTCAGATCTTGTGACATTCAAGATCTATATTCTAAAGGTGAAAATGCTAATTTATTTGAAGCATTACAACATCTGTTCAAGTTAAAAGCTTGATCTTAACAATATAAGACTACACTTATAGTGTTATATAATTTAATTTACCCAAGAGTGATAGAAAACACAAACTTTATGATGTGCTATTTAGTCCTATTTATCCTTTCAGATGGATCACAAATATATTGTAACAAGTTAGATAGCAACACCACAAATAACTGTCTTCTTTGCAACAAAGAAGAAGCTACAGCAGTACCTTGCAATAGTAATAATACCGGTAATCAGGCCCAATCATTTTGACCGTTTTGAATTATATGTAAGAAACTTCACATAGAGGGCTATGGATATCATGATGACAGTTTGGAGTCATGCAATGCAAGTTGTATCCACATTCCAGTAAAATTATAATAGCAATAAATTAAGTCCAAAATACAAAACTTTGAATAAAACTCTGGTAGAACACATTAATAACATGAAAGTAATTTCAGAATATTTTAAACAGGAAAATTATTCAAACATGTGGCCAAATCTATAGAAAAATGTTTTACCAAAAAGAAAATCGACTTTTCTCTCACAACCGAGACTTAAATCCTGCACTATACCTGTACGTTCAGATGTACTGTAGAGAAAAAGGCTGGACTTTGGATGCTATCCTTTAATGAAAAAGACTAAGTGCAGCCCCATTGTGAGGAGTTGCAGCAATATTTGGCAATTTCTCATCACGTTTTTTTTTCTTTTGCACAAATGTACTCAAATTCAAGGTTGCCTGTTTCTTTAAAAACTGATTGGACTACAACAAAAAACATGACTTATTTCAGGACTTTTCACTCTTTCTTTAACCAGGTTTGCACAGGCGGTTTTGAACATGTACTTGAAACCTTACAAAGTAATAACATTGAATAGGGAATCCTCTGTTTACCCTGTTCTCCAGCTCAGATGGGAATTTTGTTTGAAACTTGCACGTGGTCCCTTCGCTGTAGTCCCTCTGGATAAACACCTTGTTGGCAAGAGATGCACTGTTCCTCAACTCCTGTAGGTTATGAAACTGGGTTGGAGGGGAAATAAAACAATAAGGGTTAGAGCACTGTATCTTTATTTAGACCCATCTGTCGCTTTGCAGCTATCAAGTTCTGTTCAATCCTGTTTGTGTAAACAGAGGCTGGTGTTGTAGGTGTAGGACAGGATGTGATCGATCCATGTGTGGCTCAGTGACTGCAATCATTTCTCCCTGGCTGGTTGTTTGAGGACAGCTTAGCAGTCGACATACTATCTAATTCACACAGCCTCGGATGGGTTATTTTCTTTTTTTCTCTCTGGCCTGGAATGAGTTGCAAGATTTCACTACTTTCACAACAGAACTGAACAAGCTGAGACAGACAAACAGAAAAAGGCCAGCAAGGCAATATAAACGGCCTGTCTAACAGCGGGAGCTTTACAGGAAGGTCTGCGCAGCGTGGCTGCTGTCCGTGGTGCTGAAGTCAAACAGTGGCCTGTCACCGGATTAAATGGAACAACAGAGGAAAACTGATCTGCTTTTACCAAAACAGCTTAACATCGCGAGGGTGGGCGGTCGGGCTCACACCATTATCCGCTATATCTCTGTTAAAGACCCACGTCACGCAGCCGAAGCTCTAATCCACGCTATGTCTAAAATAACGGTCTCTCTGCTTTAAAGAGGAATAAAAACGCCAGCCCAGCTCTGAAAGAGGGCAGGAGCGGTTTAATCATTTTGACCGTGTGCAGACCCGATGCCCTCAGCAGAGTGGGCTTGATTTGAATCTCCTTTTTCTTTTGCAAATTAAGTTAATTCTCATTTCTGGGCCAGCAGAAAAATAGAGTATTGATCGTCTTACCTCTGTCGCCATGTTGCGATCCGTGATCGTGGGGAAGAACCCCTTCACCCCCTTGAAATCTGCTTTAGTGAGACTCGGGAGATCAGAGGGCGGGGCTTGATGCAATGGGGGTGTCTAATTTTGTTGGGGCGGGGCCAGCTCGAACGATTCAGAGGGGCGTGGCTTGTAACAGGAGAGCTCTGCACAAGATTTCTGCTTTTTATTGTATTCAGTGAGGTTTGCTTTAGCTTTTCGTGAAATACAGACAGGTTATGACAGAGTCAATAATCATGAAAATGTCAATTGCATGTTTTATTGACATGTGGCCCTTTCTTGGAGCTTAATAACTGTAGGATGACAGGTCTCCTAACGCAACTTGCTCCTTGGATTGTGCACAGGGGAAATAAAGATGGGAGAATGAAGTGTAAAATAGGATGTTATCCTTAAAAATATATCTTAATCAGGTCAGTTCTGACTCATCCAACTGGAAAGTTCTTGTGCGCCATACAATGATCTGCAAGTTCTTTTAAAGTTTAAACAATGCAGAATCTGGTTGTCAAGAGGCACCCAACTATTCATGCTGGGTATGTGAAGATGCTGCAGCAAAGCCCCTTCTCTAAGTAATGATTGGGTCTTCCAGAGCACAACACTCAGGTTCACAATAAGCCGACTGCTTTGGAACTACTAAAGGCACCCCTGGTTTAAATCCCACTGACAACAGTTGGGGATGGATGGTAGAGAATGTTTCAAAAAACAGGTGCCAGCTTTTCTGTGTGATGCCCCTCACAAAGCCATACAGACATCCAGATCCCAGCTATCTATTGAAAACACATCATGGATAGCTAAACTATTATTTGGGAAGCTCAATCAGTACAGTTTGACTATTTACTGATTTTTTTTTTTTATGTAAACTTTGTGTATTTTTGTTTATTGTTGGCTTGTTGTTTACAAATTTTGATTGGCTGATGAATCGCCTCCTTTGAATAGCATATTTTAATAGTTTGGTTGTACTATAGTCTTGTTATATGTGAAGTGTAATTTTTCCCCCAAATCTTGAGATTTTAAAGGTCACTAAAATCTGCTGTTTTCCACTTGTGGTCTCCTCCCAAGGGGGTATGGACCAACATTCTTCTAAGGATCCCAGATCCCAAATCTGCACAACTTCAGCTGACTGGAGGTCTTTAATTCCTCTGTATTAAAGGGAGCTCTTTTCACCAACATTTCATATTAATTCTATTTAGATCTAAATTACTGTTAAGTAAAACGGAACAAACCACAAAATTTAGGTCACCTAGTATTAAAAAATAAATTGATCACAAATCTATGCTGCAAAGGAAAAAATACAAAATTCTTAAAGTTAATTATTGGGCTTAAAACTGGCAGAGATGTAATTTTTTTTAACATTCAGTATTTAACTGTGGTAAGAACTTTTATTAATGCTCAAATAAAAAAAAAAAAACCTAATGGTCTTTTCTTAAATTTTACTCAAATTTCCAGAATTTATTACAATAACATAATAAATGAACCTTTAAAATATGGCCCTAAATATATACACATATATATAAAAAAAAAAAAAAAAAAAAACATAAAATAACCATTTTCTGAAATAAAAATCTGCACCTTCAGGTGTTTTAAATTAAATATATTAGATGTAGAACAAATATAACATATTACAGTAACAGTATATATATATATATAATTACCATAAAAGCAAAGCAAAAAATTACAATCATCTTTGTCTGATTAAAAATCAACTCTTCACCCAACACGTTTCCAGTGCCTCAAATCAGTTCTTCAAGTCAAGTCCTGCTTGCCAGAAAGAGTGAGGCTGAGGTGAAGGTTTTAGGTGGCGTTTTGCAAGTTCATTAATTTTCTTCCAGTTTAGTTCTTCCAATATCCATCCAGTTTGAGGAAAAGCTTAAAAAGTCTGGAGATTTCTAGGCTTCCACGACATCTTGATAACTTATCCACATGGGGAAACATTAAAACCAGAAGAAGGAAAAAAAGTAGAGAATCTTATTTTGAAAAAGTCTCTGATCCGCTTAAGGTTGTGCTTTTTAACTTCAAATTAAGCTGGTTCCACATGATTTTCTTCTGTGACTTTTGAACCCCCGCAGATGGTGCTGATCCAGCCAGACAGCAGGCCAACCTATGGTCACAGGAGGTACTCCAGCAATAGGACAAATTGTAAAACACAAATGGGCATTTTGTCAAAATAATTACAAACAAATGATCTCAGGCAGTTCAGATTACTTCCCCCCCACCCCCAGAAAAAAAAAAAAATCAAGATATGTTAAAAAGCAACTGTGCAATCTTCACATTAGCTGGCCAGAGCTTAATGCAGAATTAGGCCCCTCACTTGACCACAGACTCACTTGTCCCCTTACTAAAGTAATCTAAAGCATCTCAAGTCTACAGAGGATCCTTTGTTTACTGAGAATTCCTCTCAGTATGACATATCTGCTCCACAGGACATAAAGCAGGTAAAAACCAAAACCCACGCAACTATTTTGTTCAGTCCTTGGCCTTAACTCGACATTTATACTTCTCTCAGCTAAGAGGAATGGATAAATGTAGGTTCTTTGATTGTGAAGCCATAATAATCTCTATCAAGTCTTGCAGACTCATGAGCATCACTGACAGATTTAGCAGAAAACATCTAAACACACGGTAGAAGCAATCCCACAAGCCACACGAGAGGTTTACAGAGGGATGCAGCTGGTAAAGGCAGGAGGGTCCTGGAGTTTAACATGAGATATCTGGTTAATGTGTGTAAGCCTTTACTACAGATCTGAGGCATGTAGCTTTGCGTTTCGGTGAAAGACCCTGGAGACAGGTTCAGTATGGGCTCTCATTGTAACTTGAGAAGAGAGGAATTACAGGCAGCACAAACAATCACGGTCTCTCTCTGCGCCTCTGGAGCTGGGGAGGAGACAGGAAGCAGAAGATAAGAGGCAGGAGGAAAATAAATACATTTCAAAAAGGCAACAGGAATATACTCTCATACAGAAGTCTCTGAGAGCTTCTGTCCTGCAACATTCTACATAGATCCCTGTTTCAACCTAAATGAAATGACTCCCTCATTACCAAACCTCTGCAGAATTTAAAGACTTTCTGAGGAGGCAAATCAGCCATTTGATTTAGTTGTTCTGAAACAGGGATGCTTATAAAAGTTGTGAGATAGTAGTTCTCAATATGGCTGCTTAAAGAAAGTTTCAGCAATTTCTAAAAACAAAGATTTTATGTCTTAAAATATAATCATGATTATTGTTAACATGGCTGCATCTGTTATCTTTTATTCTCACCTGTTGCCCCCATGCAGGATCTCAACACCTTAAAGGAACAGCATCGGGAGCAGAAGCTGTTACCACAATTACTGCAGTTTCTCTGCAACATTAGGACACCTCAGTTCAAATCCAGTCAGTGAAATGATTAAACTAGAACTAATAATAAAAAAGCTAAACAAGGACAGGAAGCTTTAAGTCTCACCCTCTTCTTCAGCACCGAGAAGACAGCATTGCAGCTGGAACAGTTGCCTACAGAGAAAGAAGATCAAAGCGGGTATTAATAAACACTAAGGCTCATCTGCCCCATCACTGAAGCTGAAAATAGGGAAAACAAAAACAAAAAGGGAACTCACTGACCTGTGCTGGTGGTAGGATAGCGCTTCCGCAATCTCTCCGTCAGTTTGGACACCTTGCTGCGTATTGGTTCATTTCGACTCAAGAAGCCGTTCTCAGAAACGGTGTCATATTCAGGAGCTCCAAGAGGCCCGTCGTCATCCTCCTGAAGAAAGAAACAGCACAGATGAATTATTAAGGGTTGGGAGTTAATGTTTGATCATAAAATCCAACAATGTATATGGAGTTTATATTCAAATACATATGACCCACTTTTTGATTAAATTTAGACCTAACCCTTCAACAATCCTTAATTTCATGTATGAGAAATTGAGCAACTACAGCAACATTTGCAAGACCTCTAAGCTGAGAATTAATACATGCATCAAGTGTTTTATTTTCATGCATTAAGTGATTATATTGCAAATCGATTAATCTGTCGATTATTTTTTCGATTAATCAATTAATAACCAGATAAACAATGATTCCTTAAAGAAGACATTTTACGAAATTAAATCAGGTGAAAATAAAGGAGATTAACCCGATTGTTTCAGGCCTACATGAGACAATAAAAAAATGTATAATAAAATAAATTGTTTATGTAATTAAACTGTATATAGAAATCTTTTTGTTCTAGCTTTTAACTGTATATGCATACCCTGAGGTTATTTAGTCACAAAATAACATTCCTGAGATGGCAGGAGGTGAATGACAATTGAACTAATGAACAAGAAGATGGATTTATTGATTACCTTTAAAACTATGCTTTCATTTATTATTAAGTATGAATTTCTTAAAAGTATTTTGTGATCCAGCATGTCCTAGAATACAGCTGTCTTGTTAAAAGATAATAATGTTTCAGACATAGCCTTATAATAGCTTTTGATTTTTAAACACACAAATGCATCGAGAGAACCTCCACATTCATGTCGTCCAAAACAAGAAAATTATTAAAAATGAATATTTGACATTAAAAATAATAAGTCAATATTTACAATATAAACAAAAAAGCCTGCAGATTTAACCATTTTCTGTGAATCACTTTACTCATATCTAACTGTTAATAAATTAAATTCCCGATATCTAATAATCTCTAAACATCTGTGCAGCATGGAGTTGAACAGCATGGAATCCCAAAAGGTATTCCAGTCCAGCGGATTAAGAGTCCTCAGAATAGATATCATTCCTTAAGTTTTATGTCTGATTAAGGACCAGTGATGTGAGTGGCTGCTGCATAATGTAAATGCTGCTGTTCTGGAGCCCAGATGCTGCTTGTTTATTGGTGTGTTAGGGGTCATTGTCATCTTGAAATGTACAGTTCGAAGGGATTTCCTATTTTTTATAGCCGTTTATGACGTCCTCCAGTATCCTACTGCATCCAATTAATATTAGTTTAGGAAAAATATTTCTACCAGAATCTTTGATTAAGCTGGTTAGTCATACTGGGCTGCATTTTCATGTGAAGTTTAAAAAATAAAAGCGTATCAAGGATGCATGGAATATCAGTATTCATTTCTGTATTGGCAGATGTTAAAACCAATTAGAATAAGAAGAATAATTTAACAGTAAGGCAATATCAGCAAAGTCATTTTATCATGTTGAAAGTATAGCAAAAATTAGAATAAGCAAAATATTAGCTCTTATAATAATATCAATGGTGAGATATTTTTATCAGCCCAAATCTACATATCAGTGCATCTCTGAAATGTATTATGATGCATGGACTCATGCATGTGCATGTCAAACGTTAAAGAGCAGGCATTTAGGCAGCACACTTCACAACATGCTTTCAGTTACAAAAGCACAACAGCACTTCAAATCCTTAATGAGGACATTCTAGTTAAATGGAAGGGGGAGAAAATTTGATTTCACTAATGTGGTTCATG